CTAGAAAAAAGTGATTACTTAATCACATGAAGGCACTGCAGCTACTATATACAGGTTGGCCTCCAAGTCATGACTAGAATTGACAAGCTTGCTTTTCAAATATGGCTTGATATATGGTAAGTCAAATATGTTTCACTATATACTTTATTTAAATAACTTTTAAATATTAATTATATTATTATTATTATTAAACAATAATCAATATATTTAAATAATTAATAAAAAAACATATCAATATTATTATATATTTTAACAATAATTTAATTATTTTAAAAATTATTATTATATTTTAAAAAAATAAAACTATTAAAATATATAATATATTTGAAAAAGCAAATAATTATTACACTTTACTTTATTATTATAATTTTAAACTTGTAAATTAATTATATGATTTACAATATCAATAGTATAATGATATATTTTTCTTTGTTAAAAAAAGTTAAATACAAGATTTACAATTGCAACTTATTTCCTATATTTCTTAATGCCACTTAAGAATATAAAAAAAAGAAATTTCAAAACCTATATTGTGCTAGCTATCTAAAGATAATGATTATCTAATCATATGAAGATACTGCAATTATTTTAAATATTTTTTATATTATAATTAGTTTTATAAAATATTCAAATAAAATATTTCAATATTAAAACATTATTTATTTTTTTTATTTAATATATATATCTATCACGTGTAAGATTTCTAGATAAGAATTTTGTTGCAAGTTTTCATTTTAATCTTAATGTCGAACCAAGTCAGTTTTGCAGTCGCCCACAGGCGTTATGTTGCTTCTTTATACAAGCGTGCTTTAAAAACTTCTCTTAACTGGTATATATTTCGTGAATTATGGCGACCGAAAGCTTTAGAAATTCGTTCCCGCTTCGAAGCAAACAAAAATGTTAAAAGCTTCAAACACTTAAAGTCCATTTTAGAAGAAACTGAAGCAGAGCTCTTTAGATTCCGCCATCCCGATCCATATAAATGTGAGAAAATTATAGGAAATTGTAGTTTTTGAATACAATAATAAACAATACCTTAAATAAGAATATGTATATTTCTTTTCACAGATCCTACTGCCCCGGATGGTACAAAATGGGAGAGAAACTATCCTCCGCCATTATTTAAATCAGTACTGTATCACATTATTTATTTGATACGTACCGTTTTGCTACGATTTTCTTATGATTAATTTTTTTTTTAA